ATTTTCATATTATAAGCTTCATATTCATTATATATTTTCATATTCATATTATAAGCATTGAGGGAAATTAACGTCAATATCATAAATTGTTTTAGTAAAATTAAGACATTATAAATAAACCCGTGGTCGTTTAGTCACGTCATTATTAGAGCAGTGTGACTGTCACCGATATAGTTTGATCTTTAATTTCTCAAAATCGTAGTAAATTAAATTAAAGATGAATAATCATAACTTTTTCCTAAAGTAATTCGACAAAATGTCATAAATGGATAAGTTTTTAAGCAAGAAAGTTTTACCTGATGATAGCGCCAATAAATGATTAATGTCGTTAGATAGCTTTTCAATATTAATGTCGCCAGTTTCATATGTTTCGGGCAATGTTATTAACATGATTACATTTATATGCTGCTAAGTTGTAAGTAAACCAAGGTTTTTGAAACTTTGATTTATTATTGCAGAGCTCGGACAAATTTTCTGTCTATAAATAATGCGTTGCATTTTTAAAATACTCTTTATGTTGCAATGCATTGTTTTCGTACAACTAGAACAATTTTTGTTATTTACGTAATATTTTATGTTTTTGTGAAATTATGTTAATATTTTCGTATTGTCTATTTACAGAACTAGTTACTGTCTTATAGCTTATTAATTAAACTTTTAATATGAGAAAGAAACTTAATAATAACTTAACTTAATATATGTAAGGAAACCAATTTATAACAAGAAAAGTAAAATATAGCAAAGTGGTAACTTTATTAGGTTATTTAAATAATTAAGATAATAAAAGTTGTTCACAGAATAAATTCGCTATTTGTCATTCAAGTAAACCTTTTTGACAAGAATAATTAAACGTTATAGGCTAATTTTTTTATTCTAATATAATTATACCTGGTCACTGTTTTCTTGAACTGGCGAAATAAAACCATATTTTTAACTATGTATGTTAAAGGTTTCACCGCTTAGGCTCGACACTAGACTCCCCCTCGAGGTAAAGAAATTGGTCTTTTTAACAATCTAATTATCTATCAAATATAAGATTTGTAACGTATGTACTGAAATAAACAGCTTAAATTTTTACTCTTGGTTTAATGTTTTCCTATTTGCGGCTGCTTTATTCAGAAGTGTTGACTTTTGAAACGAATTTATTCAAGCGAAACTTACAATTAATAGTGGTTTAACTTGGTCAAATATACCAACCAAATTTTACCGAAAACATTTGCAAACCCATTAATATATTAATAAATTGTAAATAGTATGTTAATAATATATTGCACCTATTTCACAATAATGTAATTTTCATTATTGTTTTAACTTGCAGCTTTGGAAAATTGATCTGCCGCCCAATATTACTGTGGACACAGGCTGTAATACATAATGAAAACCTTAACAAACTTTTCTTAAAATGAAGGTTTAAAAGTTTTACTTAAAGGGGTATTCTTCACTAACAATTTTGAAGGCAAAAACTGCCGCCAACCCGGGAGTCCGTCGTTACCTGTCGGGATTTCCCGCGGTAATTGTGAAAAATGTTCAACGCGCGGGAAATTGTTTTACAGGAATTAATTGATGGTCGGCTTAGAGCGTGGGGACCTTTGTTGCGAAATAAGCGTATAGTTTTTATAATACTTTTATGTTGAAGGTTCTTTATCCATTGAAATAAAGGTACAGGCGGTGAGTTTACACAATCGAAAAGAAACATTTTTTTAGAGGATTAATTTTGTTTATATGGGTTTGACGTTTAGTTCAGAAAAAAATAAGACACATTAATCTTTCATTAATTTAGATTAACTGGGCATCTTAGACTGGTTTAATGAATGTTCGAACAGATACAAATTAAAATAATATGAAAATAGATAGAGGAGTTTTTGGAAACTTTACCCTTAGTACCCTAGTGTGCAATCAAAAACAACTATTTAAAACATAAAAAATTGCATTCTGTATTAAAATCAAAGGTAATTACTGAAGCACTCTAAACTGTTATACGCAAGTTTAATCTGCATCGGTGTTTTTTTTTTATCTTATTATGTAATATTTTCCGACTTTTGTAAAATGATAGTCCGGATTAGGCAAAGTCTGCATTACAATCAATAACCGGATATTCTGATTAAACTCCCCTGACTGCGTCCGGATTAATAGCAGTTTATTTTATATAGTTTTAAATGCACAACAAGTTGTACATTAAAATTAATTAAAAAAATACTTTCTCTTGATGTTCGGTAAGAATAATAATGCGTTACTAGCATTCCCAGTGTAAGGGTTGTGTCTTGTCCCTTCACTTCCTGAGATGGAAGGCTAAAGTTTGAAGTAGGATCGACGGAAGTGTTCACAGAATTGGGAGGTTTAATATTTAAACACCAGCTGTTGCGGCTCTGAATGTAACGTCGAGCCTCGCTTCTTAAATTTACTCGAAACGTTTCATTTCTGTCGTATTTGTAGATCAAGATAAAATTTCAAAAATACGTAAAAAATGTAAATGAAACCCATCAATATTTTACAATGAATGTTGCATAATATAAAACTTGAATGTTGTTAGGCCTAAGTTCTATTTTAGCCAGCACTTATCTTGATAAGTAGTTCTTACATCGTTTATTCACTTACAAACTTTTGGAATCAACATTTTACTAAGCTGGTTTTAAGGTGTTTCATTATTTGGTTTTTACTTTAACAAGAAAACGTAGGTATTGAATCAACCTTGAATTTATCTTGAATTAATCTATCTGTGATGGTAAGTACATTATGTAAGAGGTTAAATGACGCGTCTTCGTAAAATTCATATAAAAATGTAGCCTACTTAGCTGAAATATTTGTCAGGTTTTTGTCTGGATTGCCGTCTCGAATTTTGGCGTAAAGGATCGGATTCGATTCCCGGCGTATAAAAAGTAAGGTTTGAATGGTTGCCCTAAAAGCATATTGTGATTCTACCATACAAAATGTTTGATCTTTTTTAAATACCACTCAAAACAACTTTTATAGTTTCAACTGTTTGTCGAGTTTTTAAATGGTACTGCAAATTAGCTTTGTACTAAGTAGCCATTGCGATATCAAAGATAGCCACAGTAGTTGTATTGGCTAAAGTTAGTACTGTAGTAAATTTGTTAACTTGTGTTACGCCGGTGGCCAGAACAGTACAATGGTCCGCTATGATGCTGTGATAACACTACTTCACGACTGCATATCTATTGTTAACTATGCCTTTAGGGATGTATTGTATTGTGTCTGGATGTATTTACAATATAGGACACCGAAGTCGAAACATAACATTTAAATTACAATGGTCGTTTGTGAAATAAACAGATTGTTGCCTAGTATATTATTTCCTTTTGTCCTACTTTATTCAAAGTATTGCTGAAAAGAAAAAAAAATATAGAAACTTACAAAAAATATAGATAACGTTAATCATGACGAGGCGTCGAGAGGCCAAGGGAGATATGTGACTTTTTAAAAAATGTTGTCATGGTAACGGGTTTTGTTAAAAAAGGGTGGAATTTCAACAAATAATTCACTTATATCCCTTGGCCTCCAAACTAAACACCTAAGAGCTGGAAGCCAAGGGGTATAAGTGAATTTATTTTTATTTTTATTTTATTTTTTATGACTATGAAAAAAATACAATGACATTTTTTAAAAAGTCACATATCTCCCTTGGCCTCTCGACGCCTCATTTATGATTTAGTGCTAGCGACCAATTTGTACTCAGTTAGAAAAAATAATAAATTAATATTCTGTATGATAGGTATTGAACCCTTTGGACAATATATTTTTACTAAAAATCCTTACGTAATTTCAAATTGGTCTGACAATTTGGGGTTTGCCCCCTTAATGTTATTGTAACAATTATGTCTCTTATACATTAATGTGGTAACCACTGTGCACCGTCTTAGCCATGTTTCACCTCTTACGCACACCCACACTTGGTATGCTCAATGTTAATTTTTCAGTCAGACGGAACAAAAATTTAATAATTGAGAATACCAGAGATAAGGTCAATGCTTGCATATTTTATGCTTTATAAGCCAAAGATGATAAAAATATATGCCGCATTATAGTGTTTCTGAACTTGTTCCTAATTGACCGCAAGATTTCTCTAACTCATTACTATGTTTGCGTTTTGAAGAACACCTAAATACAGCGTGTGTCCGTTTTGATTTAGTTGAACACTTCAGGATTTTTATCCCGGTATTTAAAACAGCCTCAAATCTATCTATATTTTAAAGGACATTTTCATCGAAATGAAAAAGTGTTTTAGTCCTGGGCCTAGGTTCTACCGTGCTACCTACGGTAATAGCCTATGGCAATACAGGTGGATCTTACTTAATACAAGAATTTAACAATTAAAAAGCTTATCTTAAAAAATTAAATTGCTTCTACAAACTTCCCAACGGTATACAAATAAACCGATATAACTATAATTAATTCAGAAAAACTGGTTAAATTGTATTTCTATTTCAATAACTTATTTTTATGTGAGTGCAAATAATATCTTAATATCGGGGACACCAGAACACTAGTATATGAATCTTGATTGACGTGAATTGTGTATAACACTCAAAGATTGACGCTCCTAATATCTGAGCGACTAAATACTCATTGTTAATTGCTTTGATTTCAGCCATAGTTAATGGCAATGACGTCAAAGCTTTGCTCAATGTCTGGTTACGTATTTTTGTTATACTTTCAGTAATATTCTATTTAAAATGGTAGCTATGAATATGTACTATTATATTATTATAATATTATTGTTATATGGGAATGCGGAATTGATACTGGATAAGTTACTGATTTCTGTTCAACATGCAAAATAAGTGTTAGCATTTACTTGTCTACTACCATAGATAAAAGGAGTGCTACTACAGTACCACTATATGCATATCAATAATAGGTACATAAAGTGCATCTCAAATAATACAAAACGTAAGACAAATTGTCTAACAAGCTAAGACAATTATGTCACCCAGTTTCATGTATTGAAGTATTAACATTTACAATTTCTTAATACTGTATACCTTGTCGATAGTGTAGTTTTCATCCATTCGATGACGAACGGCTCTCGTATCTCCTCTTATCATATCTCCTTTAATCGCTTCTGTCTCCCTCAGTGTCCTTGAATTTAAGCCCATTGATCTGCAACATTGTAAGGTCATTTTTAAATTATACACATCTGGTTATTATTCGAAGATTTTACTTTGATTCACATGTTCGTTCAGTAATTGTATGGCGTTTACTATACACACCTATGGTGGAAGAAAACCAACATTTGATAGGTCTTATTCTCCGCCCATATTTACCTTATATTCAATGACGTCACGAAGGTAATATGACGTCGATGTCTGATCAATATTGTATAAATTCCTTTGTTTCAAACTTTTGCTTATGTTGAACGCCGGAAGTTTGTCGTTCAAAGGAGCAAAGTTAGCTGACACTTTAAATCTACTTCAGAACATCAAGTTGTACCGTAGTATGAAAGGAATAATAGATAATCAGATATGTGCACCGTCAAATTCTTATATTAAACCAGCTTAAGAACAAATAGCTTATTCCCTTTATGGGAAATTCGCTAAAACCTTTAGATGAGTCTCCTACATTCATCTATTCTCTATTTACATACTCCTAATAGTCTCTAATCTTATTAAACTGTCTAATATTTGCTACATTTGTAATGTGCCAGCTTTAATAGACTCTTCTCACAAAGCGAATCAAAACTCAACACCTGTATTAAGCAATACAATAAATACACAGTAATTGTGTTAATTGACATTTTATTTTTAAAGCTAGACACTATACCGGTTGTAGCTTTTTAAATACAATTTTTAAAACCTGCACTAAAAAAGATTGCGTAGTGGTCTGCCTTCTTAGTGACCGAAAAAAGAGGCAAGTTTGCAATACCTACCCTAAGACTTTTCCCAGACGAATATACATGCGTAAGTACATTCTTACCAGACGAATATGATTCTAAATTATTTTTACACTTTTAAAATAAATGTAAAACTATACAACATATCATCGCGGGATGAGAATCAATTGAAAGAGGAGATACTAATGTTTTGTTTGACACAACTTTGGTAAACATAGTTGCAAAATCAACCTCTTCAGATTTTTTAAAATTTTGACTACGGCTTTAAATTAATTACACAATTTAAAATCAATGTAACTCTAAAACACAAAACTCTTTCTAAGTCCTGTTCCTCGCAGCTTACAATAATGGTGAACAACAATAACTGATCGGTAAATTATAATTAACTACTTGACCCCTAGTGGTATTACTTAAAACTTTTGATAATTCAACATATGAAGTTTTGAAATTCAGAGAGGTAAAAGGATTAAATCTTTAATGTCTGTAGATGCTATTTTTGTAGCTACTGTATGTTCAACAAGTGGTGTTAAACAAAACTTTAGAATCTCCTCTTTCAATTTATTCTCACCTTGTGATGATAGGTTGGATATTTTTTTCATTTATGGAGTTTTAAAAGTGTAAAAATAATTTAGAATCACCCTGTATTTTGGTATGATTTCGGGAAAAGTAAATTAACTTTTACCTGGATTAAAGAAACAGTTTCGTGACAATCAACTCAAAAATCTAATTTGAAGTTACGATATTTCAAGCAAACAGCATAGAGGAGAGAATCAGTTTTAAGCAAAACAAACCAAAAGTAGCTTGAGTATTGTGACGATCATTTGTAACAAATTTACCTAAGAGAACTGTTTGCAGGGGTTTATCTTCTAATAAATCAGGCAAATCAGTTAATCTGCTTAACAGTGTTATCAGCCACAATCACAGGTATATTCCCCCTTAGCTGAACTCGCGTTAAGACCTTTCCCATTGAGGGCTAATGACATCTGCTCGCTATGAGTCTTAGCGATCGTATGTCAAAGTTGCTGAATACAAGCTAATGCTCATATAACTGGATGTTTGTAGGGCTTAACTATCTCAACGACGAATCATCAGTGACATTGTATTGTGGCTGTAGTGGAAAGCCTTGCGGAACATTGTGTTGTTTGGATGGTGTGAATAGATTACACGACTTGTGTGAAAATTGGGTAGATTAAGATTAAGATTTGGTAAATGTGTATAAAATAAACCTTTTGCTTTTAAATTATTTAAGGATACGTACGTGTGTTTAACTTATTAGATATCTTCATCAGATCGGACGTTCGAAGAGGAACTGTCGGTTAAATGAAATAAATGATGGTTATATTATAAAGTTTTTTAACATGATATTTTGAAACACATTAGTACATACACATAACATATAAAATTCAATTTACAAACAAATATTTTGAAATAAAATAACCTTATATTTTTATACTTTTATTAGACCAAGCGTCAAGAAATATTTTACAAATTGTTTTAATGTTTACAGGTACTGTATGTTGAACCGAGTTCTATGGTAAGGTAAAGCGGCAAGTTTTATTTCATCGTAGTAATAATTTTGTTTATCGGACCTTTGTTATTTTATATTTTATTTTAAATATGCAATTAAACTTGTATCAATCAATGATAAAATATACTTTGTTAAATTTGGAACATGAACAAATATTAGGCCTACATTTTAATTGCAGTGTAAAAGTGAAACCTCTATTATTACCAAACCCTATGCAAACATTTATAGTGGATATAGCCTTGTAAAAAAAAATCCATTTATTGACATATTTTCGTTAAATTATTATCAAAAAAATAAATAGAACTCATCGTGTCTATAAACATGTTAGAAACAACGCTTTAAGTTTCGCAGGTAACAGGAATTATTTTTTTGTACTCGAGGCTTAAATTAAATCTTCCTTTAAAATATAAGTTTATTTTACACAAAGTCTAGATTCTAGATCTCGGGATCTTTGTCTATGCATAAAACTTCCCTAGATTTTTAACGATAGCGCACTATAAAAATAATTAATTTATATTTTAAATTAATAGATTTATATTGCCGCTGTGTTATTAGTACTCTACTATGTAAGTATACGAACCATGGAAGTGGCTTTGTATGTGACTAGCTATATACTATAATCAACAGATGTTACCGAAGTTCTCTAAAACATATTCCTTTCACCTGAGCAATAGTATACGCCTTTCTTTTGGCAAATCGTCTAAATGATTTACCACCCTGACTAAATACAAATTTACCACCACAGTTGAGTTGAGTATTTTCCCCACCGACTCTGACAGATTTACTAAGTACAACACAGTAATTAGCTACAGGAAGTGTCGCGTTATGTTGGGGAAATGAGAAACCTCACTCTTGTCTGATACCAACTTTCGTCCCCCTGCTTCACATTTCCGGGGCGGATTTCGTTTTGAAATTAGCTCCAGAGTGATTTATAAACTCACGTGTTTTTGGTCGGTTATTAAGGTTTATTCCATTGTGTTTGTCTAGTTCTATGTATGCCAGAGCACGTTGAATTACAATGAAAACACTAAACATATAAAAAAATTGGTCTAAAATCAAATTATGTGGTCATTTTAATCGAACATACAATCGAGTTGTATAGGTTAGTAAAACGTATCTAAGATTACATTTATAATTTAAACTTAAATATAATAGTTTACGAAAAGGTTATACAGTATTCAGAGTGTTACATACTATGAGTATATTAGATTGAAAGGCGAACAGTTAAAAAAAAATACATTTAGGGAAGTACTATACCCAAAGTTATTTTAATACTGCCAAAATGTACGCACTTTTAGTATTTGTTACACTAATGAGAGTTTCTCAAGACAAGTAAATCCTAGTTTTAATACAAAATCTCTTAATAATTTTACGTATATTTACTATGCACGGTTTGATCGGTTGAACCGTATTTTATTTGCCTTGAAACTAAGTCAGTACACAAATTTTTAACACTAATAAAGATACTAACGATATAGTTGCTTAAGATGTGAATTTAGTCCATAATGTTCACTGTACAACTTTAAACAATAAGACACATTCAAATGTCAAAATCGTAATTATGTCAATAAACTAAATAACTTCTTGATCAGATTACAAGATTCACACAGTTTGTGAATAAACTGTCGTAATGAATACGCAATTTCCCTAAAGAAACCGTTTAAAAGTTTTCGTGAAAATATCTTCGCTTCAAAGGGCCATACAACCACACAATCAGTAATATCGGTTGATAAATGTTATATGAGTGTGTAACTCATGACCACACCACGAATGGTCCCAGCTCATTAAATTACATTGGTAAGCGAAAGTATGACTTACTTTAGTGATTTGACAACTGAAAATAAATCAAGAATAATTTAATTGACGTAAGAGTGGACTGTACAACAGGTTACAGACAAAACGTACGAGTTGGAGACAGCGTGTTTTGTAGGACATTTTCAATCAGGGCAGGTTGTAGTTGGTGCTGATTTAGTCGTTAATCTTTGAGCAGAGCAGGCAAAACCAGCTAGGAGGACCATTTCTGTGTATCAATCAAGTAGAGGCTGCAAAAACGTCTGCAAGAAAAGGATACGCTTGGAGCTTCAGTAGTTTGTTGTTAGTGTCTGTTGTAAACGCGACAAAACAGTTTAAGGATGCAATTGTAAATGTTTTATACTAAGCTGCGTAACAAGGTTGGGTTTAATTTTTGTATCAGTTTCAATATACATTTGTTTCTTGCTGATTAATTTTTGTTGAAAATCTAGTAAATATAGATGGGCGATTTTTTTTATTAGATGACGTATGTATAAAACAGTATTACGCCACAAATAATTGTAATATAAATAAAACTATTTATGTGTGGAGTAACGAAGACTCTCATCCGAGCTAAAGCATATTTTTAAGGATTCTTACTAAAAGCAAACTGTTGTGGTTTTAGATAATCCTGAATTAACTTTTTTTGCGTTTGGAAAATAATTGAATGCCCCAATCTTGTATTAATATAAACGTAAACAGAATCATGTATCTATTTTTTAATTGAATATGACGATAATATTGTAATATATGTTGAATAATCGTCAGGCATAAAATGCGTTGTGCATTGAATAAGATGCACCGCGAATCTTTGCAAAAATATCACAAATTTTAATTAATTTGAGCTTGAGGTAAATATTTTTAGCATTTTTGCTACATAACTAAATTTTTGTTTAATTTTGTTCTTTACCTGGTATTGAAATGCAACTCCGTCAGTTGGTCAGTGGCTGCCTCTGATTAAGTATTGCATCTGTGCCGCGTCGCATGTTTTTCAGTTGAAGCCCACCCTCCTGTCAACCAAAAAGATATTAATTAGATATTAAAATTGTACTGTAATGTATAAATATAAAATAAAGTTTACATTAAAAGGACGTTAAAGATATACTTCTTTACAGAGGTCCACATAAATAAAATGTTTCTATAAAATGTTTTTTCCACATGGTGACATATTCCATGGTAAAAAATGGAGGCGAGGTCTGACAAGACGAATGGCACGGCCAGCTGTTGACCAATAATTATCTCCCGCCATTTTTCACCGCCACCTTCTGCCATACAACAAACTCTGTTACACTGGGAGAGGTCCCGACATTGTTCATATATCAGGATGACCTTGTTTCAAATATCATGTACACAATGTACTGGAGGGGTTTGATATTTATGCTTGTCAGGGTTGATCTACTTCAGGAGTTGTATGTCGATAATTGTAGGGTATTATATCTGTTGAGTTGTTAATTTAAGATGTGGGGAAGATTTTTTTCATATTTTTAATGCATTAATAATCCGTTTAGCCGTTTAATCTCATAAACTCCGATTTCTAGTAGTTCACATAATAATAGGTTACATACAAATTAACCTTTACACACCTTAATGTAGTAACGGGTGGGAAAAGTGTGATGATTTCTATTGTGTATGACGAAGAATGGAGTAAGCGAAAGTAATCGCCATTAGAGTGTTCTACGTGAATGGTGTTTTTAGCCATAACAGTGAAACTATATTTATCCTTGTAACAAAATTGTATTGTTGTTTAACTGTGAAATTTGATGGATACGTGTATAATGCACCTTAAAATTGTATCTTTGGCTCTATAGTAGACATCATCTTTCGGTACCTTACTAACGGATATAAAGTACTATAACTTCGAAGAAGTTGGTTGCTATTGAGACATTACAACGGTAATTTCGTAGAATAGAATTCAATGGTGTGAAACGAAAATAATGATTTTGTGCAATGGCAATTTAAATTGACAGAATTAATAGTACTGAATTTATTTTTGAATCCAAAAGCACTTGATGTTTAAACTTCATATATTACTGAGTTTATCATAGCTATTTGATTCAGTAACTTGAAATACCCCCTTTTTTAAATGATTTCCAGTCGTTCTAATGTGACGTCATACAGGATCTACTATTTATGAAGAGGACATAAAAGACATTAATGCTAATTAATGATACGTTAATTAATTAATTATATTAATTGATTTTAAGACATTAATGATTATTAATTGATGCACGATATTTAACCTCCGAAACGGGAAAAAATTTAAATCTTGCGTGTTTTACAATTAAGAGGGCTCAAATATATTTTTAACCCTCGGACCGCACAGGTAAAACACTTAATAACGCCACGAGGCTTGAGGAGGAATGGGAAATTCACTCGGCCAGACTCTCGGCCAGTGGACCGATCTAATGTAGTCTGTTTCACGTAAATCACTCGACCTCAGATTTTAATGAGATCGCCCAAGGGTCCTGAACAGCACGGTAAGATACACGTCTGTTCGCAAAAGTGGTTTCATATCATTTGGGTTATTTTTTATTATTTTCTCCTCAAAATTGTAAGTCGGTTTAATTTTTATGTTTTTTTTCTGGTTTAAGAAGAATTTTATTGATCAACAACTAAAAAAGTATTTAAATATAACAATGTGCCATTGCTTCAAATTATAGGTTGAAAGCGTGTGTAAGTAGGAACCTAGGAAAACAGCGTGGTCGGGGCTATTTTATGGCATCTAAGTAGGTTAGTGATATAAACAAACATTACAAGTTTGAGTAATTATATGTAATACCGAATATTGAAAATTTTATATATATTTATTATTCAAGGTTATTTACTTATGAACATGCTCACGTATTCGTTTTTGAGTAACTGAATTTTAATAGGGTTGCAAGAATATTTTTCTTTGAATTATCACATTGTTTTTCAAAACTAGCGTTCAAATATTCGTTGAAATCGCGTTTTTTGTGATCCTAGCCATAGGAGTGATAGTGGAAATTATGAAGTCGACAAATAGGCAAACCAGTTCCGTTCAGAGTCGTGTCGATGTGTGGTGATGCCTACATAATATTGCGGATACCTAGTTGGCAGTGGGTTGATAAAGAATAATGGAATCACTTGCAGTTTTAGGGGTTACTTTAGGGGTTTATGTTGGTACGAAACAGAAACAATAACGTATTTTGTAGGTTCAGTGACAAGGACAAAGAATACATTTTTTCATCGAGTTTTAGGAGCTTAGCCGATCCAGTTTCTCAGCATTGTCAAGAATGTACAGTAAATGATTACTGCATAAAATAATTTCACTTAGAATAAAGATACGTAGAGTACTTACATAGTCCCCTATATCATTTCCATCTTTACTGATGTATATTTTGATGGAACCACTATACTAAAAGATTCTGCGCAACTGCATTAAAGAAATGGTAAAACTTAAAATAGTTTCTGATTGACGATTCATTTGACCTCGTGCAATTCATCCACATAACAACAACCCCTAGTGGCCTTAGGTGGTTGAAAATTGACTTGGCAGCCTCACCTCACTGGCTGTGATTTATACGGAGTTGCTGTGAGGCTGTATACTAACATAGCCTGTTGGATAACGTCCATTTTAAACCCCTTCGCCCTTAGTTTAGGGTAAATATTACTTGCTTTGAGGTGTGGGTGTTTTTAAGTTTTTTTAGAGCCCTATTAACTCCATTTGGATTATTTACGATCGGTTTAAAGATTAAGCAACAATTTCCTTATTAGTAAAAAACCTTCCTTATTTTACGAATAGAACATTAACCGACAGAGATGATACAAATGTTTACTAATTGTTGAAGTATGACATTACGGCCTTAAAATCTAATCCAGAAGTGCATTGTATAACGTAATTTTGTAAAACGTACCTCGTAGATAAAGCAAATGGCCGAAAGAACCGACTCTTCTCGACACAGATTTAATCCTGGTGTTAGCAAAACATTACATTTAGGTTAACCAGGTAGGCTTTACCATACGTAATGACTTTATAACACTCTTCTAATTACACTAAGCAAATGTTGAAAAATTAAAAAACGTTATCCTTTAACTACAAGACCAATCCTATATCGTTGTCCATTCAAGTTTACAGGTCTGTTTTGGTGGATTTTCGTGCATGAATTTAGCCCAAAAAACACATGTTTGCCGCCTGCGTTAGTCGAACGCTTTCATTACGTTCTGCTGTACAGTAATGCACTACTGTGGAATCACCTGTTTTCGTTCTGTGTTTATAACCTTTGAAAGTTCATCATAACATTGTTTCCTAAGCAAAAATCTGTGTATTATCATAGATAAAACATACTCCCCCAATACTTGTGTTGGTTAGTCTATGGTATTATGCAATAGTAATGTTTGATAAAGTATCATTTTTTTATTCTTTCAACAAAAAAAACATTGTTATTGTTTCAGCTACTGTTTCATTTTCCAATAAACAAAAATATACACAAATAAAAGCTTTAAATATAAGGTCTAACTTTGGTATAACTTAAGAAATTGTATTAGTTTTGAAATGTTCCTAACTGAAATTAATAAATATTCCAATGTCTGTTTTTAAGGAAAAAATAATTGGTCTTTGTAGTGTAGCTAAAAGTTACGTTTAACGAGTGAAAGTCGGTCATTATGGAATCCGTACGGTGGGACCAAAAAACGGATTTCGACAGTTTATCGTATAAAATACCTTTACTGTACTCGTATGGTAATTCCCTTATTTTCTGTATTAGTAACGTAATAATATACAGTAGTATCCTGCGTTCTTAATATTCTATTTTTAGGATGCAGAGGGATTGGACCCAGAATCACATTGTGTAACTTGATGGCCTTTACTGTATGGCTATTAACCCCGACCCCGACTTTCTGTCAGGCCTATGGTGTAGTTCCCATCTCTATGGAAGGTAATTACGATGTTAATGTACCTATTTTGATGGCAATCAACGCCTGAGGGCACACGGTAGATTATGTGGGTGTCAATCACTGGTTTAATTACTGGATGCAACGTATAGCTGGACTATGGTGCAGCAATAAGCGGGTAAATGCTGTGCAGCATGTGCATAGAATGTCTGGTAACGCATAGCTGAAATTAATACCCAGGATTCCTCAAATTATTGGACGTAATTTATAAAGATTGCCAATACCCTGGGAGTACGACCTGAAAACATGTAAATAAATGATAATATAAAAAAGGTTTTAGATTTCAACACAGCAAGCACATTAATCGAAGTTTACGTAAATGGTATTTTCGTGGTTGAACTCTCACTGCAGTTCTCGATCAATTTTATCTTTGGTTTTGGGCAAGTAGAACTTCATAGAGTTGTTCCGAAAACGTTTAAAATAGTCGACCCTACAATAAGTGACTAATGAGCTTGTAAAATCCTTCATATACATTTGTTTATAATATTTGAATGGTAATCCAATGGACTTAAAAACCAAACAGTTGATATTAGTGAATATAGTTTATCTTTAGGTGTTTACAACGGATCCAGTCATCGTATTTTTTTAAGTATGAAAAGATATAGAAAATGCTATATTTTAAGCTACATTTGATTTACTTTTGTACTTTTGGAAATATGTGTTTATTGGAATCGTGAGTTTTGCACAGCCTGTGATTAATACTAAACAGTAATGACTTGCGGTTGGTCAACTAGATTACCCATCTTCCCAGTGGTATTGTCTTGTATATTGGCCTAGCCTAAATCATAACTTGCAAGCTTAGCATATACAGTATAGCACAATTATTATTAGTAACAATTAATATCGGAGATTTTCACCAGTGAGGCATCTATTCTTTTTAAATTACGTTGGCATTGTTCATGAGATCTAAAAATTACATACATCTAAAAATTACATAATAGAGGATTAAGGTTTTTTCGCCACAATATTTAAAGTTTATAAGCGCTTGTAAAGTTGTAGTTGGCATTGAGAAGTAAAAAGTATAGGTCTACTGCACACAGCAATTCTGATGTACACCTCATGTTTAAATCAGCATCTTCTGTATCAGGTTTGCATTTTT